CGACCATTTTTCACACTTAGCGACCATTTTTCACACTTAGCAACCGTTGCAGCATCCTCATGGTCACGTGATCCAAATTTTGTTGTTTGGCAACATATTCGGGTTTATGATGTTTTCAGTGTGCTGGGGTCATGTAATCGCCTTTTGTGACCTTTTGACAAAAAATAAAATTTTTAATCAAGTGCCCCCGTCAATGGTGTCCCGCTTTACCAATCTGAAAATCTGGTTACCTTACACATAAACAATCAATCAATTCATTTCTTTTTGGTAGGTTGATTTCATCTGTTGTTATTTTGCCTACAATTTTTTGTATTTAATTTCTTGAGAGAGAAAGCCATATACATTGTTTACATAAATGTGTACATAAATAAATAGTAAACATTCTGCTAACATCACAAAATTAATTTACTTACTCCAGGGTTTTTGCCTTTACCTATAACTAGCAATTGCTTATTTCATTTTTCCTGTCAAATCCTATCTTAATTGTGTTATTATTATTTTCACATTGATGTATCTGATACAAACTTACATTTTCAACATTCTTGCAATATTTGTGATTTCCTTTTCATCAAAGGAAAGAACACTAAAAAATAGCATTTATTTGTATTTGTTTCACTGCAATTTTCATGCAAATTATAAACATTTTGCTAATATCACAAAATTATTTTACTTGCTGCAGGTTGTTTACCTTTATCTGTAACTAGCTTATTTCATTTTTCCTGTCAAATCCTGCTGTCTTAACTTTGTTATAGTTATTTTCACATTGACGTACTTGATACAAACTTACCGGTACATTTCCAACATTCTTGCAACATTTGTGATTTCCTTTCCATCAAAGGAAAGAACACGAAAAAAGTAGCATTTATTTTTATTTCTTTCATTGCACTTTTCATACAAATTATTTACAATTTGTGTTTTTCACACAGCAATCATATGATTTTCTTTCAGTTGGAAACATTTCCAAGATTTGTCTCATTTATTTTCCAAGACAAATTGCAAGGCATTCAATAAAGCTACCTTTCTTACTCCTTTCCTCAGATAAAGTCTACAAAGAAATAAAAGAAGTTTTGGGTTCATCTCACTCAATCTGTTATCAAGACCGAAAGAAAGTGCCCTACACCAATGCTGTGATTCACGAGATCGTCCGAAGCAAATATATCTTATTATTTGGCTTACCAAGACAATGTGTGAAGGATGTCTATCTGGGTAATTTTCTCATTCCCAAGGTAATGAATTTTTACCTTACTGAAATACTGGAGGGGCTGCATCTTCATGTAGGAATTTTTTTCTCATTTCATGAGAAGGACCATAGGCTCCCTGGCAAATTTATAAAAAGAAAAAAAAATCTGTTTTGAAATAAAACGCTTGGGTATTTTCAGCCATCTATTAGTATGACAGCTAACCTGAGTTATATAGTTAACAATAGCCAATCAAATACATTTACTTGTGTAATAAAGAAGGGACCATCAGGATCAAATCAACCCACCCCTCTGAGGTATTTTGGTTCTGAGATAACTTGCATCTGAGGATGAAGAATTGCTGGTAAATAGCCCCCTTATCTGCTGCCCCCTTTTTGTTATAAACCAGTTTTTTCCCCTTCCCCACTAACCCTCTGGGGACATTGTCAACCTGTCCTGGTTCATTAAGGGGGATGAAGTGAAAGTGCCATCTGCCAAACAATTTCAGCTTCAACCTTGCAGCCTGCTGAAGCATCTCCCCTCTGTCCATGGTGGGTAGCTGAAATACTTCAGCAGGCTGCAAAAACATTTGAGCAGGCCTGGCAGGGAGCCCTTTCATTCATTTTTTTAAAAAAAT